CCTTTCTCGTCACCCATCCAGGATGTCTTGGGCTAGAAATTTATTTCACTCTGTCTTTTTGTGGGTTCTGCTGCTCTAAAATTTGTTTAGAGTCATTTTTACAGGTATTTGGAGGGGTTTGGGGAAAAGCTCAAGTGAGTCCCTGCTTTTACTCTACCATCTTGACTCCACCCTGGAAACTATATATTAAGAAGGCCATTGACAAACTGGAGGTAGTACAGAGGATGACCAGAAAGTTAGGGAAATCAAAACTACATCATGTGCATAATTATTGAAAAAAATGGCTGCATTTATTTTTAAAGAAGATGTAGAAGGCTTTTATAGTTGCCTTTCAAAATATTTGAAATACTGCCATGAGAAAGATATTAGAATTATTTCATGGTTATCTAAAGTGCAGAACCAAGAGCAATCAGTGGAAATTACAGGGAGACAAACTAGATCATTTAAGAAACTACTCTTGACAATTAGTTTGGAAAATAGGATGGACTAACTGGACATGGTGAGTGCTATGTCATTAGAGGTGAACCATTCCTCCTTGCCTCACATAGCATCTAGTTTGCACCTCCCTTACATACTCATCATGTTTCATTGTAGATTGTAGTCATTTATGAAGGTATGCAATCCTTCTATTAGGTTGGGAACTTAGTGATAGCAAGGACCACAACTTAACTTTTTTTTTCTTTCTAATCTTTCACAGATGCTATTCAAACAAGCACTCTCCATACACAATATATAGAATATATGTTTCTTGAGGCAGAGACTGCTTTTTCTTTATATTTGTGTATCCAGTGATTAGCACAGTGGCTGGTACATAGTAAATGTTTATTTAATGATTATTGATTGGTTGGTAATAGGCACTTAATAAACATCTGCTAAAGTCATTGAGGTTTGGGCAGAGGCTGAATGACCACTTGTCAGGAATATCCTAGAGGGGATTCATGTTTCTAGTAGTGGTTAGAGGTGGAGAACCTATGAACTCAAAGCCACATATGGCCCTCTAGGTCCTCAAGTGGGGCCCTTTGACTGAATCCAAATTTCACAGAACAAATCTCCTTAATAAAAGTATTTGTTGGACGCAGTCTAAAGGCCCTGCTTGAGGACCCAGAAAGCCATATGTGGCCTTGAAGCTGCAGGTTCTCCAACACTGGGTTAGACTATTTGGCCTTTTGGTTATTTGGTTGGTTGGGTTTTGTCCTGAACACAAGTATAAAGAACCATCACTATAAGGCACTTCTGTCACAGAAATTTGATCCAATAATGAAGATTGGCACCTTCTTTGTAACTTATACTCTAAGACTGCTGCCCAGAGCACCAAGAGGTGGTGATTAGCCCTTGGTCAAGATAGCTTTGATGCTTCAGATGAAGGACTTTAATCGAGATTTTCCAAAGCCCACCCTGTTTCCATCCTCTGAACACTGTCTTTTGTGATTTCATGACTACATCACTATTTTTTCACCAAAATTTAAACACCTACTGCAGTAACAAAAAAGGAGGAAGGAAGGAAGAAAGTTAAAGACTCACAAACATGGCAGAAGAAATTGAATCATTCTATACAATAAAAAAAAAAGACAACACAGAGCCACCATTACCCCCCCCCCAAAAAAATATGCTTTTAAGATTTAAGGCAAATATTAAGTAGGTCATGGAACGGTCTCTAAAAGCTTCATGGATTCATTATGTGTATCTACCATACTAATTAGGATCTCAAAGCTTGTTTGCTTTACCAAGCAGTTCACATATTACCAACCCAAAGTAAAAATATGCTTGCTCCTATTACAAGCTTATCTAGCATTTCCCAGTATGGTAGATGAGAGGATTGAGTGTTCTTTGTAATTATTATTTATTCCATCATTTTCCTCCTCTTCATTAAGCACTTTGTTTGGAAAGTTAGTTTAAGAGAGAAATGCTAGGAAAACTGCTTCGTTTTCCCAAATGAATATCCTTAAGACACATATGTTACAATACATTTGCATTCTTAAACAAATAGAGCTTGCACAAACAAATTAAAAATGATTATTTATGCCCTGAGAAGCTGTGTTCCCCCTGAAGTGCTGTCAAAAGGTCAACCATTGCCTCAAACACTGCTGTGCATAACCTGACCTGGAAGTACCATTGATAATGACCCCTCAACTGGAAGACTTAAAGATTTAATCATTTGACATACAAGCAGCCCTAGGGCATTTATACTTGGCATTTTCCTTTGTGAGATATACACAAACAATATGCCTTTTAAACAATTCAAAGACCGGGTGTCGAAAATAGAGCTGGCACACACAGTTCCCACTTGGCAACAGACTTCTCACTCTTCCAACTCTCTCACTTTGAGGCACACGCTGGAGAAAGGGAGAACCAGCAGATGCGTCTGGAACTGAAAGCAAAACTGCACATCCCTCCTCCCTTGGCATTTCCCCCACATCTCTGGGCAAATTTGTCACCTATGTCACTAAGAACTTAATTATAGTCCTTTATAATTCTAACCCTTTGGGCTAAGGGGATGGCAAGGAAGCACTTTTTTAGCTATTGTTCAGAGGGGGAAGAAATCTCCTTACCTGGAAAATATTTTGTTGAAGAGAAATATTAATTGACAACATTTACTTAAAATGTTTCAGTTGCTGTCACTTAAAGTTTTGCCAAAGCATCTTCGTGAAATAAGGCATATATTACTGATGGTGTTATTTCCGTAATCATGAATAATCTTGGAGGACATTGTACAGAAATTGGTACTAGTCAAGTGTTTTAAGAAATGAGGGGAATGACTTTTCCAAAGGCAGGAGTTTAACTCCTACAATCACAGAATCATCAAAAGATTGAGCTAGAAAGAATCCTAAGGTTCATTACCTATTCTAAACCCCTCATTTTTCAGCTAAGAAAATTTAATCTCAGAGAAGAGAACCATGACAGTATAATGGAAAGAACACTGGATTTGAAATCAGAACAACTGGATTCAAATCCTGGCTCTGCTACTTGCTATTAATGTGACCCTGGGCAAGCTCACCTCCCTGAGCTAAAGTGTCTTGATCTGTAAAATGAGGACATGGTTGCATGTCCTCTGAGGCTTCTTAGAGCTCATTCTTTCTGTGAACTGACTTTCCCAAGTTCATTGATCAGAAAAACCAAGGCTAGAGCCCAAGCTTCCCAAATTGGGTTTAATGGCCATTAAATGTATCAGGGTTGAGGCCCCCAATGCCAAATAGAGAAACCAGTGATGGCAGAACTGAGGACCTAGTCCGAGGGGAAAGGAATCAGACAAGAAGAAATGAAGCTCTTACTTAGAACTTTGTTTTGTGCATCCCTGATAAACTTATCACTTAATATTCTGTATTCTAGATAATTTTATATATCTTGTTTCCTTTGTTTTCCCTTGTTCCCATGAAGGTAAGAATATATTATTTAAATTTCATATCCTCATCTAGTGCTTTACACAGTGCTGTATACTCTTGCTTAATAAATATTTGGGGAATGACTAAATGTAAAAGATAATACTGTCTATCAGTCCTCCATTTAAATTAAAAACCCCTTATCCTTCAGCTGGAAGGAAGATGAGCTAAGAAGAAATATATAATGACTTCCCTGACATTTTTGAGTAAAACTACAGATATAATTGTCTATCTCAGTCAATCAATAAACATTTATTAATTGCTTACTATCTTTTAGGCATTGTGGCTTTCATGATATGTATTTACTGATAAGTAACAACAAGATATGTAGAAAATACATGCTTAAAGAAGAGGGGGGGGAGTGATTGACAACTAGAGGAATCAAGAAAAAGTTTGTGATGGGAAATAATGTGTAAATGGGTCAAAAAGATAGGCTGAAGACATATTGCAAAGGATTTTAAATGCCAAACAGAGGAATTGGTATTTTCTCCTAAAGCCAATAGAGAGCCATTGGATCTTCTTGAGTAGGGAGGTGACATTATGAGACCTGGGCTTTAGGAATGGATTGTGTTTTGGATAGAGTTGAGGCAGGGAGACCAATTAGGCATCTGTTGCGACAGTACAAGCAAAAGGTGACAAGTTCTTAAGTAGCTTTGTGAGTGAAGAAAATGAGATGCCTATGAGAGACATTGAAGCATTTGAATGTACAAGATTTGGCAACTGATTAATTATGGTAAATGAAGGAGAGGGAAAATTCAAGGATGACTGAGTTTGGGAACTTGAGTTTTAAGAAAAATAGTGGTACTCACAATAGAAACTGAGAAGGTAAGTTTAGTGGGCTTGAGGAAAAGATAATGAGTTCTGTTTTGGATATATTGAATTTGAGATGTGTATAGTGTATTTAGTTAGAGATGTCTGATATACAGTTGAAGATACATCAGGAGAGAGATAAGAGATGGATATGTAGCTTTGGGAGTAGTTATAGGAATCACTTCACATTTTGGGCCTCAGTTTCCTCATCTGCAAAATAAGAAACTTAGATTCTATGTCCTCGAGGGTCCTTCCAAATCTAAATCTAAAAGGCTATAAGCTTATGAATCTATGAGCTCATGCAAATACCAAAATTATAAATGAAGAGAGAAAAAAGAGTAGAACTCTGGGTTCTGAAAAAAAATCATATTTTGTTTTTTTCAGCTCTTGTCATGTCAGCAGAAGATATTTGTCTGACTTCCTAAAGTTCTGTTTTCCCCTGCACATCAAAAGGGATAGAGGTTTCTATTCTGCGCAATAGCACAAATCATAATCAGACTTAGCTCATGAAATAAAATGGAAGGCCATTTCTGCGCGCAAAATTATTCATCAGCAAAGTTGTCTTAGATGGATTTCCTAGCAATTCCACAATAGCATGGCTGAAGCTACCGTTCCAGAGACCTTGATGATGGAACCTCTTTATAATAAAGAGATCTTTAGAACATATATATGAGGAAGTTTATGATGGTACAAATAATACAGGTGTGCTAAGCACTTCAAAGGGAACTGGGAACATGGTTTGGGTTATATTTGAACTATGTGATCTGTCACATGTTTTATTTCTTCACTTGTACCTTTTTCATGCTTTGACAGGTTGAAGGATTTCTTCTTAGTATAAAGAAAATTTTCAAAAAAACAACAGCAACAACAACACACAAAACACCCAAAGAGTGGAACTGTAAAATGTGATGTCTCTCTTCTGTTTTTCACAGTACTGGCAATCAAGAAAACTAAATCCTACACTTACAATGTGTTATGTTTTAATAAAGTGTACATTAGTTTCATTCAACTGCTTCAGCCCCTGGCTATCCACTCTACTGTATATTAGTTTTAAATACATGTTGCTTGCAATAACACGGTAGCAGGAGCTCTGCCTCAAGTTAAGAAATGGTTAGAATTGCTTTACATTTGCAGTTCCATTGGAAACATTTATTCAATCAAAGGGAAAAATAAATGTGGTCCCTCAGCTCTGTCAAGTATAAACTATTATTGATCTCCTAAATGAAATTTGTTCATGCTGATCGATCAAACACATTATCTTTTTTTTCCAGTCTATTACCAGCAATTGGAAACTCTCAAGCGTCAATAGCTGTTTGACCACATGCAGCTCTAAGTTGAGCCCATAAGCTTTTGAAACCTGAATCATTTTTCCATATCTTTCCCCCACAAAAGTGACCCTCAGAATTGAGATGATTTCTCTATTGCATTGATGGTTTAAAAATAATCCAAAATGAATAGGTTGTTGACAGGAAGTGTCGTCATCTATAGCTTCAGTAACATAGCAGTAGAGACGATTCTGGGATTTGTTTCATGTCCTGTCTTTGTTGTTTTTAACCCCAAGTGGTCAGTTTGTTTTTCTCCTTTGTTAATCATGCTTCACCCAGAGTAACTCACTGGTGAACTTCTTTCCCTATAGATCCTTTAGTCCTTTGGGTGGTGTTTGTCCAGGTGGGAATGCTGGATTTGTCCTAGAGAGCAAAATATACTGGCTTGGATCATGACTTCTCCATTCAACTCTGTGACCACATTAAAGATGAACCACAAAATTTTTATCTCCATGAAGTTTTAAGATACTAGAAAAACAGCCTGGAGTAGTGGAAAGCACATGGGACTTAACAGTTAAAGGATCACCTGACGTGGCTATTATGACAATTAAAAGAGGTGTTATATGGAGAAATGCTTTGGAAACCTAAAAACCACATATAAATGGGAGCTTTTATTGAAATAATTAATTGTATTTTTTTTTTGCTGAAGACTTCTACTATGTATAAAAGTGGTGAAGATAAGGAGGACATCCCTATCTTTCTGAGAAAACATTGTTATTTTTATCCCTAGCCATTGTTTTTCACGGTGAGGGGAAGGAAAGAATCTTAACTGTACCTAAAATATGTGGCTCATTCACTATGAATAAGGAAATATTTATATTTGACAGGAGGCGAAAACTTTTGAAAGAATTAAACAGTATGAAAATTCAAAGAGCAACTGAAAACCTTTACTGATTTGGTGCAACAAAAATGGAGTGAGTCTTCATAAAAACAGTCATCAATAAGTTTTCATCTCTAAATTTTGTTTAATCGGTTAGCAGAAAAAAATAAACAAGCCAGTATTCTATTTCTGGTTCTGTCACTTACAAGTTGCATGACCTTGGGCAAATCATTTCTCTGCTCAGGATTCACTTTCCTTATTTATTAAAGGAGCAAATTGGACTGAAAGACCTTTAAGATCATTCCTAATATTTTATGGCAGAGTTCTCTAGGTCTATGAGTTCTTGAGATTGTGTCAAATCATCTGCTGTGAATTCATTTCAGCTAAGTGAATTTTCAACATCTTGGTAGAGTTTGGAGCTTCAAAATGAACATAATTTGGAGTTAGGTCTGTGCATGTGTGTGTGTGTGTGTGTGTGTGTGTGTGTGTGTGTTTTAAGTAAGTCTCCTTTTCTTAATAGCCTCCATAAGGGACCCACTTTCTACTGCTGTCAATACCTCATGTATTTGTCTTCTGTCTTGCTGATAGGTAATAATTTTCCAAGCAAGCTTAGGGAGCAGTGACTCTTTATTGAAACCAATAAGGGGAGAATCACAGGTTTTAAAAATCACTCAGGAAATTATTACTGACAACTCTTTCTTGAATTTCTAAGCAGAATAGAAATCAAGAGAAGTTAACATACTCTGTCGCTAGAACTGGCTTATGACTTTTCTGCCTTGTACTTATTTCCCTGATATAAAAAAAAAGGCTTTTAGTAAGTACCTTTCTATTGTATTAGTGATTTGAGGATTGCTGGTTTTTTTCCCATCATGATCTTTTGAAGATAGAGAAAGTAGGTGGTACAGTGGATAGAGCATTGAACTTGGAATCAGGAAAACTCATCTTCCTGAGTTCAAATCTGGCCTTATACATTTACTAGCTATGTGACCCTGGCAAGTCACTTAACCCTGTTTGCCTCATGTTCTTCATCTGTAAAATGAGCTGGAGAAGGAAACTGCAAATCACTCCAGTATCTTTGCTAGGAAATCCTCAAATGGGGTCACAAAGAGTCAGACACTACTGAAATGACTCAATAGCAACTGCAAACAAGCACAGAAGAATCACACATAAACACATACATATATGTGTGCATACATATACATACATATTATATATACACATACACACATATATATGGTACTCTGTACATACACATATATACACACACACATATATATGTATGTATATATACTCTGTGCGCACACACACACACACACACACATATACGTATACAAAATAGCACTGGGCTAGAGACTCAAGTTGGAAAGAAAGTCTGCTAGGAGGAAAGGAAAATCTTATTAAAATGAAAATGTCAAGAGTCAAAAGATATAGCTTAGAAAGATGTTCACATCCTGCTTTTTTTTACTGAAGCAATTAATTCTTTCAATTAGTTTTCTTGTTGATCTTCTAGAATTTTCTAAGTAAACCAACATGTCATCAGCAAATAGCAATAGTTTTGTTTCTTTACCCTTGTTTATTTCTCTTTTCTTGCTGATATTGCTAGCTTTTTTACAATTATGCTAAGTAACAGCGGATAAAGGGGGCATCCTTTGCTTTATTCTTGTATTTACTGGGAAAGTTTCTATTGCTTTCCCATTGCACGTATTCTTTTGACTTTAGATATATCCTTTAATATCACTTTAAAAGATCATTTTATGCCTATTCTTTCTTTTTGTTTTTTAGCATAAATGAGCTTATACTTTGTCAAAGACTTTTTTTACAATCTATTGTAATTATGTGGCTTAAGAAAGATTTTAAAAAGAATTTCCGCACATAATCAATTTTCTGTCTTTTCAGCACATTGGAGAAATAAAACTAGGCTTTGTTTTACCTGAACTTGAAAGTAGCTCTCAGGAAGTTCCCTGTAGTACATATAAAAGGGAAAGAACTATACTAGTCACTATAGAAAAAAAAAAGACAGTTTTCAAATGTACACAGAGTTGAGATGTTCTCTGAAGAGATTTCAGATCTTAATTATGTGTTTAGCTCTTTTTTTTTCAAACTGAAGTTATTACAATAAGCTGTACAGGTTTTACAGAGTATAGAAGGAAGCAATGAGATGTGTATTAAAATAATTAATTACATTAAATATAAAGTTAGAATGCAGACAGCATAGTATAGTGGAAAGACCATTGGGTTTGGAGTTAGATATGGTTTTTAGTTTTCCTCAGGCCTCAGTTTCTTCCCTATAAGATAATAGTGTTAAGCTGCACAAACTTTAATGTTCTTTCTAATTGCAACATTCAATAGTTCAAACCATTAAGAATTAAGTTGAGAGTGAGTATGGAGATATTTGTGTAAACTCTTAAGCCAGAATCCATACTAAGAATTCCTTAATTCTTTAAATCTACATTTTAAAATTGTGATTAAAAACGCAAAACTTATCCTTGGGGGCCTGCATCTATAATTGTTCGCATTGAATTCAAATCAAGCACCATATCAGCTTCATACTGTGACATCAGGGAATACCTGAAAGACTGAGGATTTCAGTAGGTTTGCTTCTTACTGATAAGACAGTATATTGCTTTAGGTACTTCTTCCATTTTCTCTTTGAAAATCCTACCCATCTTTCAACACCCTAGTCAGATGGCTCTTCTTTTCAGGAAGCCTTCCTTTATTTCTCAATTTGAAATGATTTTCCTCCCATTGACTTCACAAAGAATCAAGTGACTCCTTGATTTAGTCCAACTCCTACTTAAATCTCCTTACAACATCCTAAACACATGACCATAAAGCCTCCATCTGATGAAGACCACAGGTATTGAGAATGCAGGATTCCTTGAGGCAGCTCATTTCATATTTTGAAATAACTCTACAAGATTTTCCTTAATATAAATCAAAATCTACCAGCAATTTCCACCCATTGTCTCTATTCTACCGTACAACTCCAAACAAAACAAGTCTAATTTGCTTTTAGGCCTCAAGACCTCAAAATCATAATTCTTTCCTATTGTAAGAAAAGTAGGTCTATGTTTTTGCATATATGGGAACTTCTCCTTGTCTTTGACCTTGGAGTATATGCATATTCAGTGGTATTGCTGAATTAAAGAATATATACAGTTGCATGACAATTCAACCAACTCACTGCTCCATCAACAATGCCTAGGTATCTATTTTTTCACAGCCCCTCCAACATTTACCAGTTTCACCTTTTGTCTTCTTTACCAGTCTAAAGGTAAGTGAGATTTGTTTTAATTTGCTTTTTTCCCTTCTTACTTATTTGGACACATGTTGTTGATAACTTTTGTTTCTTCATTTCAAAACTACCTTTTATATCCTAAACCTAATGGGAAATGACTCATATTCTTATAGATTTGCATCAATTCTTTATAAAACTTTGCGGAGTAGGAAGTAAGGGTGGGTATTAAACCTTTATCAGATAACACAGTGTCATAGATTTGGAGCTGATAGGGATCTCTAAGATCAGCTAGTCCAAGTTCCTCTTTTTACCAAAGAGAAAACTGCATCCCAATTAGGTCAAGTGACTTGACAAAATTCACATAGATTGTAAGTGATGGAGCTGGGATTTTAATCCAGGTCCTTTAACTTCAAATCCAGTGTTCTTTCTACTTTGCTAATCCTTGAAGAGATGTTTTCCCTTCCTATTTAACTGTATCACAAATCCTCAGATCATTAATATTAAGTGAAGCATAAGACAAAGATAGATATGCCCACCAAAG